TTGGGTGAATACATCTCATATTACTGATTTACTGGTAGTCACGAAAACAATACTTAATTCGAAAAATAAGTAGTCTATATTGTCTAAATTGCGGCCGGATCTGACTCGTTAGCAGGAGATACAGTCTATTTACTATATTCTCCAAATATTTCTCAGGTTGTTAATCCATACCTTCAGAAGAGGCTATTTCTGAGATAATTGGATACAAAAGTAAATGTATCTCCACAAAAGATAGTCTTAGAGCTCAATTTTCGCTCTGACTGTCTGTAATAGTCTTCTGAATGGCTGACTCAATAACAATTGGTTTGGATATTATTCTCACTCTATCTCTATTTTCTACAACCTACTCATAAATGAAAAATAGGCAATGTTGCCGAATACAATAGCCAAATGAACTTTGCTTCGTCGATAATCCCACCACAGAAATGTGATGTGGGAAAGGCCTGGTTGTGTCTGCGACCCAAGACACTCGTGGCAATGTAGCTTAGTGATTAATGTGTCGATGCTATAAGCTACACCAACACGACGACGAGAACTGAGCGAAATTGAAACTGCAGTCCAGGATGAAAGAGGATGCATTTTGGCAAGCAAGGTTATGTGAAATTCGATGGAAACATGAGACCTGCTCAGGGAAATTTCAACCAACGGTTCTTCATCATCTTGAAAGAAATAGGATGAATATAAATAGCTCTTTTATAGGATCTACCGGTAGTCTCAAAAACCTACTTATAGGCTGTTAGTGTGGCTCAAGCTATACCAGAATAAATCTCATGGGAAGAAGAGACTTAGCAACATAGAGCGAAATTTTGTACTTGTAAAATATCGGTCAAAATGCTTTATTTGTTATATGAAATGTATTCACCATATTTCGTTTAAGCTGATGAAGGACTAGTAGTAGAAATTTCCCAGAATGATATGAGTAGAACTGACGTTTCCATTGAATTTCCCTTGCTTTCCCAAAAGTCCTTCTCATCCAGGCTGAGGTGGACTGCAGTTTCGACCTCGCCTCGGTCTTGCCAACACCCCCAACGGGAGTCGAACTGTGACAGTGCAGCATGTGAGCTTGACACATTAACCACTCGACTGCATTGCCACGAGTGCCCTTGAGTCAAAGGGCCGATGTGAATTTCAAGGGAGACCAGGCCAACCCCATATCAAATTCTATGTTGGGATTTTCAATTAATTCTACGTATATTTTGCTATAACAATCGACTACACCTTACATTAAATAGAGTGAATACATTTCATATAACTGATTTACTGTTAGTCTGGAAACTCTGCTTATATTCGATAAATGCTTTTTTAGTTGTTTTTAAGTTATTCTGGTGGTATTGAATGCTTCGGAATTAGCCTTTTCGCCTTTAGGTAGAATTTGCTTCCTATGGGCTCTCTAGCGCTCTGCCATACATAAGGTGTCTGTTGCAATATAAGAGAAACATAATAGTTCAGGAATAAGGGACCATTGGAGTCTAGCTTTAAGTGCAGAACACTTTGATAGGCTTCACTGTCTAAGAGAAAAAAGTATTGAAGCTAAGAGCAAAGTACAGCTATGTCACCTCTCTTGGCATAAAACTGCATTGTTGAGCTTATTTCCCTTTTGAGTGAAAGTGTTTGATGAAGAAATTCGAAGGCCGATCCTGCAATAGGACGATGACGGATTCCTTTTGACCAGCTTTCGATTGGCTTTGATGGAATATTCATGCTGACGCTGTTTTCGAAACGTAAATTTGCTTCGCACAAAATAACATATCATAATGCTGCATTTCTGAAAGAGAGAGAGAGGAAACGAGAAGGACTTTCAAACAAGAGGAGAAGTTCTGATTAGCTTCAAAGCTGGTTTTCAGTTACACGCTCCATCCGTCTTACGAGCATTGCATGCACACAAGACACGTGCAATAGAACACAATTGCATGCGATAACATTGAGGATCAAAAATGTAATCAGCTGTTCAGTCACTTCACTTTTCCAAAAGCATGTAGGAAAAGCAGAATATATCCAACCAAATCATGCGGTTTCTCATTAAGTGGGCAAAGGTAGGCTATCATAAATAGGTAGGTTTCCTGCCGGACATCTTTTTTTGTTTTCGGGTTTTGGTAAATTATCGTAAAACATGATGTCCTGTCCCGAAGATGTTCGTCACATGACGGAAGAAAGCTTAGCAAGGATTTATTTTGGTCGCGAGACGGTGACCCGAGGACCTATTTGCACAAATATATAAACGCAGCTTCTAAGCAATCTCCTGCAACTTACTGTGAGGCCAACTTCCATTGGTTTCTTCAAACGGAATAAAGGGTAGTCCAACATCGATAAGATGTGGCGTTCCCTTTAAGATTTTGACATGGAAACCGAGTAGAATAGTTAAAATTGACTTACTAATATGCCCAAAAAGCAGCGATATTTATCTTAACAAAAAATCTGTACTGAGATAAGACTCGTGAAGGATAGCCTGTCAGCTTGCGCCTAAGCTCATAAAAATTATTCAGGTTGCCCGTAACTTTGGTCATTATACTGTGTAGGGCAGACAGGGAAGACCAATCTCCAGAATCGAAATACGCAAAACTTGATGGATAGAAAATAAGGAAAGGGACTGACTAAAAGAGCCATTTAGAAATAAAGGCGCTAGAAAAAAATCCAATTAAAACCTCCATTTTTTCATTAAAGCCACACATTTTCACCTTTTGATTTCGGGGATGAAATTCCTCCTATTCATTATTCGTTAATTGA